GTCCCGGTCCCCCCCCCTCTGGCGCCCCCCGGTGTCAGGGAGTGGGACTTCGGCCGGTGGAGGACCAGCGTGGTGCAGTTCTGGCCGAAGAACACGCCCCTGGGGGGGGGGGGCTGGCCGTGGGAGGCCTGCCTCAGGTCCCTGACCGTCAGGGGCTTGTCCCCCCCCCTGAAGAACGGCGAGCGGCCGCCCTGCAGCTGCAGCAGGGCCTGCTGGTAGGACGGCGGGCTGCTGGACCTCGGACGGACGCCATCTTGCGCCGCGGCGGTGGCGGCGGGGGGGGCGTGGCCGTTTTGCCCATTCCCCATCGGCGGGTCCCGCGCGGCCGCCTGCGTCAGAGAGGGACCGCGCTCCCGTTGGGGCCCGGTGTGGGGGGGGGGGCGGGGGGGGGGGGGGGGGGGGGGGGCAATGGCGGCGTTGCCGTTGGCGACGGCGGGCGGCGGCGGCGGCCAGTGTGGTGGCGAGTTCCTGGGGGACTGCGGCGGGACGGCGTAGTCGGTGGAGTACTGCGAGAAGGCGGAGTCCAGGGAGCTGAGGGAGGAGCCCGTCGGGGAGGTTGCCGGGGACGACAGGCTGGAGCAGCTGGCGTCCAACCGCAGCGGCGGCGGGGGGGGCGGCTTGGCCTTCCTCCGGCCGCCATTTTGGAGTCTGGACGCCTTCTTCTGGCGCCCGTCTGGCCCCGCCCCCTGCAGCTGCAGCCGGGCCAGCCCCTGCTCCACGAACACCTCGTCCTCCTCCTCTTCCTCCTCGCCCTCCATGGCGGCGTCGTAGCTCGCCTTCCTCGCTGGCGGGTGGCACGACGCCGCTCCCGTCGCCGTGGCAACGCTGGCGTTGGGCGACGGCGTGCCGACGAGCGCCAGGGCGGGTTCGGAGCTCCTCCGTAGCCTCCGGGGGCCCTGAGAGGAGGAGGAGGAGGATCCCCGGGGTGGCCGAACGGCCGGGCTGAACCTCCGTTGCCGTGACAACGGGGGCAGCTGAAGAAGGCCGCCGCCGCCAGTGTTGCCGTCGCCGCCAACGGCGTCCGGCTCGCCGTCGCTCAGCGTGATGACGGAGTCCCGGCTGCAGCTGTCCGGCTTGTCCTTGTCCCGGAGCGGAAGCTGCTCCCGGAACGGAGACTCCGGGTCGTCGTTCAGCTCGTTCTCCAGACTGTCGTAGGACGAGTCGTTCATCTGGAAGGACGACACGTCTGGGGAGAACAGAGGAGTGGGGGTGTCAAAAGTTGAACTAAAACGTTGTATCCAGATACGATACCCATTTTCAAAAGTATCGATACCACTCCCCTTCTCTCTGATTTATTTATTTATTTACGTTGTTTAAGATAATTAACTCGTTGACTGCCAGCCATTTTCAGAACAGAGTCCCATACTGCCAGAGTTTTTTGAGCATTTTGACTGATTTTTCAAGAGCCACAGAATAGTTTGTGCTATGACTATGTAAACACCGAACACACCAAAAGAAAGAGTAGACTCTCTTCTTTCACCAGGAAATTTTTTTTGTTTCTACCTTATTCCTTTCTTCCTCGACTTGCGTCTCACCGGCGACATGTTTTCTTATAGCGAACCGTTACCTTTTTCTTATTTGCCTACAGTCTATGCTCATCTCCCATCAAAAGTGGCACTGCCACCTAGAGGGTCGATTTGTTACTACATACTCTGTCTAGAAGCCTGATATTTATGGACAAGCTTTAGCAGATCGTCCCCCAGCCACTCTCGTTGAAAAACATAAAAGACGTCTATAGACGTCTTTGGCAGCCAATGAGTTAACATGACGTTAGCCTTGAATTACTAGCTGCGGCTAAAACCAAAACTGAAGGGGGGTTAATGATTCTCCAACAACGGCGCTAAAGGGGGACTTTACATCTGAAAAGGGATTCATGAGTTGTGAAATACCGTTGGGGGGACCGTAAGCTAAAGGAAATTCTCGTATCTCTGGGCTTTCTAGTGTTTAACGTGTTAAATGTAGGGTTGTCAAAAGTATCGATACTAAAAAATGTATCGATACTAAAACGTATCTGGATACGATACTCATTTTCAAAAGTATCGATACCACCCCCATTCTCTCTGATTTATTTATTTACGTTGTTTATGATTATTAATGTGCCGTTAGCCTTGAATTCTTAGCTGCGGCTAATGGCTAATAATAACACGCCAACATTAATCAACTACGTCTGGCTGCAGACTGCAGGAAGCCAAGGATGGATATCCAACTTTATTGATTTGGATAGTCAGAAAGCGTACCAGGCAAAGTTAGCAAAACAACCTATTCGGTTGGGGCTCCTGTGAGATAACACAATGAGCTCAAAGCTTAGCAGGATTCAGACTCCACAAATGAGATAGAGGGATTAGAGTCTGTGTAAACAAAAAAACCCGGCTGATTCCCGGCGGATAATCCCGAGTTGTGTAATTCCCCGGTTCTTACCGGACCCGTGGTCGCTGCCGCTGCTCTTCTGGCTGAAGGCCCTGAACAGGGAGGCCCCGTCCCCCAGCACGCAGACGCAGTTCTCGATCAGGAAGCGAACCAGTTCGCACACCTGCAGGGAGAGAAAAAACAGCCGGTCAGAGGAGATTCAGCCAACGTTCGCTCTCCAGGTTTTGAGTTTCAGAGAAACCCGTCAGGCCTAACTCAAAGTCTGAGACCTCCACCAGGGTTTAAATACGTCCGCTGTTACAGGAGGTTCTCAAGCATTTTTCAAATTTTTCACCATCTACTATTTTGGAAAATTTTAGCACATAAAAAGGTGAAATATTTCACAGAATATTCTGTACGAGTGCAAATATTTGTCACATTTGCAGAAATCCAGTTTGAGTGATTCTGTACTTTTGCCTTTTCCTTTCTTTGTCAGAATTCTTCCACTTTAGCTTTCAAATCATGAAAACAAAGCTTTCTTTAACCCTTTAGATTATGCATTTTACTGTAATGCAAATATGATAATAAATGCATAATATCACCGTTATTAGACTTAGGAGCCTTTTGCCTTTTCTTTGTAAGAATTCTTCCACTTTATCTTTAAAGTCATGACCAAAAAAAAGCTATTTTTAACCCTTTAAATTAAGCATTTCACTGCAAATAAGATAATAAAGTTTCCCACATGCAAACTGAAACCAAACAGTGTATTTAACAATTGCTGAGGCTGGCCGGTGACCGTTTTAATATTTCAAACCGTGACCCAAAAGCATTTAGCCA